GCCACACAATGTGGGTTTACATGTGTTGTAATTATTTAGAAACAGAATATTTGTAGCCATTAATATTGCAGTTATTTAGTAATTGATATGATTTAGGTCATTTATTTAGGGATTATTCAGACACTGATGCTTATCTTTCTAGAACCACACAGTTATGTCAGATTAAGAAATAAACAGCAAGTGCAAGTTAAACTCACTGAAGTGTGACTCTGTGTTTCTTTGGAGTTCTAACTGGACTCACCACAGTGATCTGAACATTTCCACTAGCAAATTACAAGCCCTATCTTTTAACTATGTAGAAGATGAGCTTTGGTCTTGAACTTCTGGGTAACAGTTCCAGAGTAGCAACATTTTATATCAACAAACACACCTAAAACCTGGTAGTGGCAGCATTACTTTTTCCCAGATGGAAGCTCTTCCTACCTACTATTGTTACCATATGATATAACCCTAACCCCACAGATGCTTTTGTTGAGGGGAATGAAAGTAGAAGCAGTTTCAGCCACCACTCTGTTCTACTGAATGCTGGGAATAAAACAAAACTGTTTTATTTAAGTTTTCAGTATCAGCTTTGATTAATTCTCGTCTTCAGCGTTAGGGTTAAATTATTACTGTTTATGTTTGAGGCTGTACCTTTTTGGACCCGTACAGTAATTACATCGGGCATGTTGTCATGTTCTGGGGGTCGGAGAAGGCGGAGCGGGTAAGAAGTAGGGTCAGAGGAGCTCATCTCCATCTGGGTGGAGCTGTGAGGTCGGATGCCAAGTTCCATCAGGCTCTGCTTCTCCTCCACCACTCTACCTGCAAAACAGTGATCTGAGGTTCTGTCTTTTCTTAAACCAAAACACTCTGGAGATCATAATATGAGGTTAAACATTAAAACAAAGCAGAACATCATAGAAATCTGCATAGTGTTGGCATTACGTAGCCTGTGAAGCATTTCTACTTTGCATAACGTCAACAACATGAAGACTTAAACCCTCCATAAGTAGGGTTAGCTACCTGAGATAATCTTATACCCCTGCATAACATAGGAACAAATATTTTTTTCACAAACTCTTTAACTGTGCTTATTCTCTCATCATCAACAAATCATGTGAATTTGGTAACATTTGCTCTTTATTTGCCAAAGTTACTTGGGGGGAGCCAAATATTTTAGCTGACTGAAATAATCTGTTCCCCCTACAAACAGTGTTGAACAGGGGAACAGATTATCTCAGGTAACTAAAATATTTGGTTTCCTCCAGAAACTTTGGCAAATAAAGAGTAAATATTACCAAATTCACAACATTTGTTGTTGATGAAGAGAAGATTAAACTGAAAATTACAAGCTTGACATGATTATGTGAGTTGTTTTACCAAGAAATTGATGAGAAGCGAAGGGAAAATGGTTGTACCTATCTCTCTGGCTTCAGTGTGCGCTCCCGACACAGAGGGAACAGATTTTCACAGGGGAACAGAATTTCGGATATGATCTGTTCTCTTAAACTGGTATACCCTTCTACAAGCATCTGGGGTTCTTAGTTGGATCATATTTTTTCTACCTCAACAACAAGAGTTCTAGATTTCCATATAACTGTAAAACACAGAGAGATTGATTTAATCATCTTCTGTTCAAAGACAACATGATTCTTAAACCCCTTTGAGACTTCTACCACTGGCCAGTTGAAAACCTCTGAAGCTTGTTGTGGAGTTGTTGCAGTTACAAATATAACAAGATAATATGCATAAAGCTGGCAATGGACATCTTCACAACTTGTAGGTGATTCATTAAAAGCAGAAAAGTAGTGGTCCTAAAATGGATCCTTGTAATCCATCATTAAAACATTAAAACGATTATTCACATTAATTCAAATGCAAAAACATTAAAATTCACATTAAAATTCGTATGCACATGAGTAATAGATGGATGTTTTAAAAGCATTTTTATCATAAAGTCTGATATAAAATAAGCTTCCACCCCAAATATATCTTTAGTATTCCAGTGTTTTTCAATTTATGTAATAAATAGATATGTTTAATCTACTCAATCCATTTTTGCCATACACTGGAAGGTAAATCACATGCATTTTTTAAAAGTTTTGCATGTGACTAACCAGGAGTAAGATGAGGAAACACCGATGTGTTGTGAGGTTGGAGGCTAAAGCAAAGGACTCACCATTCAGGTAGAGCTGCAGCACCTCCAGTGGGACTTCCAGCTCTGAGGCAAGGTGATGCTTTATCTCTTCAATGCTGAGCCCAATGGCAAAAGCCATGGTCATCACATGACCCCCTGGCACCAGCAAAACTTTCACTGAAAGCATACAGAGACTCTGTCACTACATTGTCTTTACTGCTGAAATGGGACATTTCTATATTAAATTTCTGTTTTTCATTTCACACATTTTTAACAGTTTTAAAAAACAGGTCATTTCAGACATTGTCCATGTTGTCGAGTGCATATGATTTGAAAATGAACATCCATTTTTTTCTCCTATAACAGACAGACTGAATTGTCATTCAACTACACATTTAAAATTTTAAAATTGAACAAAATTTTGTTGCAAGGCTCCAATGATAATAAATAAATAAATAATAAAACGCATGAATATAAGTATATATAATAAAAAAATAATGGGACACGTTAAGGATCCCAAATATTTGCAGATCATTTTTGACTGTGTAACTTTATAAACAACACCCCATGGTACACATGAAGAAAATGATGTAGCTCTGTTAAAACAAAAATCTCAAATACAGAAACCAAAAAGATGAATAAGGACATAAAATGATGGTTTTAATGGGTCATAGAGTAGAATCAGCTACTGATCCACTTCAAAATTAACAAAAATCTATCTGCAAGAAGTTTTCACAAAGGCCCTTTGTTACAAACCAGTGGTACCCAAAGTGGGTCCTGGAGGGCCGGCATTCTGCATGTTCTAGTTCTCTCCCTGGTTTAACGCACCTGGATCAAATGTCTGACCCTGTTATTTTGAACAGTCTAATATTTTGAAAATTAATATAATCATATTTTTCTCATGCTTTGTTTTAAAATTGAATGAGCAATATTTCAAATCACTGCAGAAATATAAAGCTAACCCTAACTCAGTTATTATTTTGAACGCAGCTCAAAATAACTGAGGCTCTCAGTTGATGTTTCACTTCAGGATGTTTCAGCAGGTTGTACTGTAGTGTCTGGTTGCAGTCATGCTTACCTGTAGCTGTTGAGTTTTTAACATTCGTTTCATTATCATGTTCATCAGCATCATCAGGCATTTCACACTGAGCTTGATCCTCCACAGCATCCAGAACAGCTAGATTACACAGAAAAGGAAGGAATTTCACAGAAAGCCTCCTCTTTGCTTTCTAAAATAACAGTGCTTATGAGTAGATTTTTAATTACTTTATGACACGGAAATTCTAGATGATCCTTCAGAATTTAATATAAATCTGAATAATTCCAAATACAAGTTTTTCGGATAGCTTGAGATGACATTTTCTATGGAGCTTTGAACATTTCCCGTTTTCTGTTGCAGATCATCACATAGATCACCTAGCTCGACTTCCAGTGTCTTTTACATCCTGATCTAGAAAAAAACAAGAGAAAAGGGGCTGAGGAGGAGCGAGGAGGGCATTGCGCTTATTTCGGCTTCTGATTACATTTGCCTGTTGTTTAATACAGTTCTTTACTAATCGCTTCCTCATACACTCCTTCCATTCCGTGGCATAATTAGCGCTCAGGCTCAGGCTGAAAAGCAACATATTGCTTCAGCACAGCAAGGTATCATCAGGTGTCACCACTTCCATGCACGGAGCAAAACAGGACATTTATGTAGACAGCCTGTATGTCTGTGTCTTCAGGTAGACTTGGAGCTAAAAAGAATAGCAGTTCATACTTTACTTTGGCCAAGTTCTCAGTTTTTTTTTTTTGCCTTACTCGCACTGGTCTCATCTGAACGGGAGCCGTCTTCGCTCTCCTCTCTGCCGCCCCCTGGTGGCTGAGTTATAGTACTTCCAACTGTCTGCGGGCTTCCTTTAGTCTTCTCGTTCTCTTCTTCTTCCTCTCTGTCCTCTGTGGTTTCTCCTGGTTTGCTCATTGTGGTTTGAACTGGCAGCGTGAGGATATTTTGGTAGAGAAATACTGAACTTAGATCAACAAATATTCTATAAGTCTGACCGCAACAAATCCACGACAAACCGCGTCGAGATTAAAACCTGGAAACCCGTCAATATCTACATTTTCGCATAAAGCCGTTGCTATATTTTTGTTAATTTACCAAGGTTTCTGTTTGCAAATTACAAACCTAAGCCTTCGAAGGTGTAGGTTTAAAACGGCTGAGTAAAGCGTTTACGTGTTGCCATAGCAACCGCTTTGTCGTGGCATAAAGATCACATGACCAAATGAGCTATGAAGATGGCTCGAGACCTATTTTAGATCACATACTCTAGGGCAGTGGTCCCCAACCTTTTTATTACCACGGACCGGGGGTTGGGGACCACCGCTCTAGGGTATGTGATCATCAAAAGGAAATGGAACAAAATACAGTGTTAAATAAATGCACTGAAAGAAATACCAGCTCAGATACACACACTTTATAAATCCCTTTGGGATTTTCCGTCAGGGAAATTGTAGTTCCTCTCTCTAACACCAATACTTAATGTTTTTTTTTTCTTTTGTAAGGATGCAATATAATGCACAACTGAATATGTATCAATTTCTATTTCTATTTAAATAACTGTAAGTGATGTAAATAGGAAACATAGAAGCATTGAACCAAGGAGGGTTCATCAGTAACTGTGGCTGTACTGAGAGCAGCTTCCAAGCCAGAAGAACCTTTAAAATAAAAGGTAAAACATGTCTGGAAAACAGGTAGTCTGGTTGTCTTCCACCTGAGCAGTCAGGATGACCTGGACTATGGAGAATCTGCACCAACACATGAAACCAAAACCTCTGAAAGTATTTTTTATTTTTTTATTTTTTTTTTAGAAAAGTTAAGTAACAGAAAAACCAGCAGACCAACTCACCTATGTAAATAACATTTATTCAGGTATACAATTTATTATTCTCACTGACCCCACCCGTCCCGGCCCCTCCCGACCTTTTTCACAGGCTTTATGTCAGTAACTTGGCTTCTTGATGCAGCATTAGGTCCCTGGAGGACAATGAGAACTTAAAGGACAGACAGAGAAACAAGCATCAGTTACTTCTTCACACTGTTTGCAGACAAATGATCACAGGCATCGCCAAAGCCACAAGCTGCTTGAAAATGCCACATTTGGTTCATTATTATTTGCTTTGTCTAGTATTTGCAATAGGAGGGCATTTACAGTTGCATTGCATAAAAATCATAGTTTCTTTAAAAAAAAGAGAGAGGAAATGACAAATATTTTTACTTGTTCCCTTTAAATGAAATTAAAAACTTATGATGATGGTGTAACTTCCTGACAGGATAATGGGATGTTGCAAAAGAAAAGAAAGCTAGATAAAGGTCCTGCTATATCAGCTATACATGCATGTCTGTAACTCAAACATTGTCTTGTTACATTAATGTCAGTGTATCCTACTGTATTTATGCTACTATTACAAATACACAAAACAAAAAACCCAACAAACTATTTTAGAAACTGTGCAAAACAAGATAAAAACAAAAAACCTTTAAATCATGTGAAAAATGAAAGTTAAAGAAATACACAAGGTTTGGTCATGGTCATGCCTTCAATAGGAGATGAAAACACAGGAAATAAATAGTGGACAAATATGATGGGAAAATAGTGTTAATTATGCATTTCAGAGAAATACACTCAAACATTTTCCTGCCAAATTTCTTGGAATATTGTCCATTTAAAGTTTCTGAAACAGAATGACTTCCCAGGAAGCTCCGCCCACCTTCAGGTCTTCACTGCAGCGTTTCCTTCTGGAGCGCGGGTCGAGGCTGCGCTCTGAGCTAACGGTGCATTAAGTGCTTTCTACTGACGCAGGAGGAGGAGAGAAGCTTTTACCACTACGGTGTGTGATGAACAGAACAGCTTCACTGATGAGGTATTGCACAGATTAACTGGAATTATAATTTTTCAAAAGCAAAAATAAATATACTGGAAACTCAAACAACATTTACATTACATGGTGTAGTGGGGTTCTGGAAGAGTTTTAGTGTTAGTGGTCGGCTGGGAGAGGTGGGTGGTGGGCATCTTCACTAGTCATCCCACTCTTCATCATCCTCAAAGTCATCATCTTCATCTTCATCCTCATCGTCATCTAAAAAAAAACAAAAATGGAGGGTTAAAAAGCCAAACAGCAGCTGAGGCCTGGTCTGCTGTCCTGGAGGGAGGGGCTGCTTTCCCCCATATGAAAAAAAACAAACAAAACAAAAAAAAAACACACAAACTTGAGCAACACCTTGTCAAAACAATAATTAAGATTATTATTTCTATTAGGTGGTTCATTTGAACATTCTTTGTTGATTTCTTTTTTTGCCTTTCATATTTAAAAACGGTTTGGATCCAAGTGAACATGTTTGATTAGCGACGTCTACTTCCTGAGACCGACTGATCAACTGCAATCCTATTATTGGGCACATCTGATCGATTAATCACACCATGTGAATGTTTGAAAGTATGATTTGTCTGAGCTCTTGAAGCAGTGGAAACAAAGTTATCCTACCAGATGTAAACTGAACCAGTATAACTTAAATCTGTTATGGGCCAAAAATCTGAAGTATGAATGTGTAGCCTGTAGGGGAATGAACTTTTAGCATTACACCTGTCTACAGGTATTATGGTGTTGGGGTCATTTGAAATTCCAGTTGAACAGGTCAGACAACAGGTCAGGTCTGTAGAGCAGAATGAAAACTACAGTTCAACCCGACCTAAAACTAATCATTCTCTATCTGAACTGGTTCTCCTGAGTCGGCCTTCTCAAACTGTCCTGGGTGACAAGAAGCTCTTTCTTGGACTCTACTCAAGGTCACTGATAAACTTTCCACCATGTAACAGTCAGTTTACTACACACACATGCTGACATTCATTCTTCATAGCTACAACCCTCAAACTCTCCACTTGGAAGACATGTAGACACTCCTGTGTCTACGTGTTGCTTTTCAATTCAGGTTTTGCAACCTGTCACCCAGTGCTTACTGTGGGGACAGAGTGACAGTTAGGATTTTTTTTTCACCTCCAACAAACATCATGTTTTTGTTTTTCTGACCTAATGAAAAGGGCAGCGCCTCCACGGCTGCAGTCCAGGCACCTGTTTTCCTTTTCTTTGTTTATTGTCTTTGGATGATTGTACTGAAATGGATTTCTCTTGTGCTTCCGTACAACAACAAAAAAGCATTCTGATTCAAAAGGAGAAAATCAGCTCAGAATTCAGCGAAAGCTAATCGCAAATGCATTCACATCACAACATGCTAAAGAAAATGCAAACAGACCTTCCATTGTGCAGGAAGTCGAAAGCGTTTAGCTTTGCTGCAGAAAACTTCTCAGCTGTTATTTTTCTGACATTCTTGCATCCACTCACGGTGCGTTCACAGCAAACGTGTTTTGCTCGTTGGGTGAGTCTGGTTTATATTTAAAATCCATGTGGAGGCGCGTCGAGGCCCCGGCTAACTCAATGTTTGTGTGTCTGACGCACCTGCACATAAACTTTGCATGTAAACCAGACGAGCAAAACGCATTTGATGTGAACGCATCATCAGACTGTTGCCAATTTCACTGCAGTGACATCACAATGGGAGGAGTTATGTGAAACAACCCCACACCCCTCGCCTTCTGTGTCTGTTCACATGAAGTCGTGGCTGTAGTGGCCAGAGAGCTTTGTGACACAGAGACTCACCAGAGGAATGGATAGCTTTGCTCCTCTTTTGCATAACCTCCATGAGGGCCCCAACAATCCCTGCAGTTGGAGCCGGAGTTGGGGGACCCGATTCTGGAAGATCTGATACCTAAAGGCACAAACACAACCATCACACAGCAGGCCTCATCATTTTTCTGTCCTTAACAGAACAACAGTATGTGTTTCGTTTTTCCCTCAGCAATAAGAGGAAATAGAATTTCTCAAAAAGAGACTTCGCCACTTGGTGGATCACTGGCATAACATGATGGAGGACGTTTGCTCTAGAACCAAACATCATGCCTCTAATTTGCTGGAACTAGACAACAAGGAAATCACTTAACTCCCAAACCGAGCAGCCTGGCTGGAGGTCAACAGGCCAGAAACTCAAAGATCCGACCCAATTCCAGGTCAGTACACACATCGCCAAGCCAACAGCGTTCTGAAATGTAAGTTGCTGTGGCAGTCCTCTGGGAACAGGGAGTGTTTAAGACCTGGTAGCTGCTCAGCCTAGTTAACAGAACCTGGGGCAGAAGCTGCTTTCCTAGGTTCTGCCCCGGGAACCTGGCCCGCCCCAGGTCCAGCTGAGCCCTGGGCAGCAGGGTGTTTACGGAGCGCCGGTCCTGCAGGAGAGAAGGATTTGTAGAAGTGGTGCTCACAGTCTTAAGCTGGATCCCCTGTCGGATCTGGTCCAGCAGCGCGTCCCGGCCAGTGCTGGAGGCCGGAGCCCGCTGGTTCTGCTCCACCTTCTTCAGCTGGGCCCCTCCCCTGATCTGCTCCAGGAGCACTGACTTCCCACCTGGGCTGGGAGAGTCCCGACTAATGCCGACACTGTCCAGCTCTGGTGGGGGTGGAGGGCCTGGAGGGGGGGGTGGAGGGGGTGGAGGGGGTGGAGCAGGTGCAGAGCTGGCAGGGGATGGTTGAGGAAGAACGGGTGAGGGGAGGGGGGGAGCTTGAGGGGCGATGGAAGATGCAGGATGGGGAGGAGGGGGGGGAGGCTGCTGGTGATGATGGTGAGGAGGGGGAGGAGGCTGATGGCCCCCCCTAGAGGGGGGAGGAGGAGGGACACCAAGAGCTCCTGGTCTGGAGGGGGGAGGAGGAGGAGGGGCTGAAACAGGAGCTCTGGATGGAGGAGGTGGAGGGGGGGCTCCTCTGCTCCCTCTGAATGGGGGGGGTGGGGCTGTGCTGTGTGGAGGTGGAGGGGGAGGAGGGCCGCCACTTCGAGAGGGAGGAGGAGGCGGAGCTGCAGAGGGAGAAGAAACACCAAACGATCGCTCATTCTGCATCAATACAATAGATAGTTCTCATCAATTTTTCATCATTTATGCCATTACTCTTCTGGATCAGCAAGTACATCACACCATGATCTTTAATTTAATGTAGGGGTAGATTAATACATTTATTGGCCATCTCTAATGCCAAATTGTATTTTCTTGTACATGTATAAAATGCCAGCTTCTGTTCTAACACTCACAGTTAAGTCAGTCTTTTGCAGAAGGAACAAAAAATGTCACCTGTTAGCAGCAACTAACGAGCTCCATGCATGTAGTGGATGTTTCCTACATGTCAGATCTAAAGGCCGAGTTCGACCCAAATCCAAGTTTGGACCGGACAAAATGAAAAGGTTGAGGATCAGGTCAGTCTCAGGCTTTTGTGGCGCATTTTTAATATCCTACAATACATCTAACGCACAGAAAACTAAACCAGAATACACCATATTAAGATGTGTTAATCTACTTATTTAAGTCTAAATAGAGATGGAGGTAGCTCACCGGGGCTTCATGTGTAAATCGTGTGTGTGCACAAAAAATGTGCGGCGCCATATTTTACACAGAAATTGGCATGTATAAAAATTAACGTGGTGTGAAAGTTTGCGTAAATATACACAAGCTTTTGACCTGCTGTGAAAATGTGCGGCAGCCACGCAAACGTTTTCTGTGGACAATAAACTACAAAGTGTCAAAACTCACCTAAATACACTGAAATCTGACCACATTCAATGTTTTTTAGACAAAGAAGCATCAAACCCCATGTTTTTCATGATTTTTATTGTTTCAACATAAAGAATGAAACAACAAATTTATCCTCAGACAATAACATAAAACGCACACAAAATAAAGAAAATAAAAATAAAAGGACCTGAAAACCTCACTCTAATGTAAATAGTACTTTTCCTCAGTTTTTGTCTCATTGAGATGTAACGCATTGGTCTGTGAGCTGAAGAGCATGAATTCATCTATGGGGTCATTTCATTTTGACTGAAAAAGAAATCATGGTTGGATCAGCAGATTAACTCCAAACAAGTTTGATTATTTTAAGATGATCAAGGTGTGTAGACAATCATGTATACAAGTTGCTGAGTAAAGGTGAGCCACGTAATTGAGGAGCGCTTTGGCTCCGATGGAGAACATCGTCAATGGAAGGAGTCAGAAGGAGCGACTGATCAGAGATCATATTGATCTGCTGGTCATTCTGGAGCTCTGAGCAAAACTTAAAGAAGGAGCCGTGTGGTACCGGAACCCGTAATGGTGCTGCAGTCATCCTTCAGTGGAGCTGCCTGCTTTGTGAATGCACCTTTACGGACAAAAAGCATCGCTCTGTAAATGTACAACTTATACACATGATTTCTCTAAACATCCACTTTCCCCACTCAAAGGACTCTCTGACACGCTGTCTGTCTTTAAATCCTGACTGAATTCTCTGCTGTTCAAACAGGCATTTGCGCCACCTCTTTCTTTTTTATTTTTTAATTTTACATTTTTTTCTTTAAAATGTATCATTTTTGTTTTTGTGAAATGACCTTATGTGCCCTGAAAGCACCTTTTACATAAAACATAGAATTATTATTATTATAAATACTTATACTGCTACAAAGCAAGGACTGTTGCCATGGTTATTGCTTCACGGGTATTTATACTAATTTAAATATGTATTTGTGGGTGGCGACAGGGCAGACCAGCAGCTGCGCACTTTTCTAAATTTGTCCGTACGCCAAGTTTTAGTGTGAAAACTGAGCACTTTTTTATCCATGAGGCCCCAGGTAAGCAAAGAAAGAGGAGAAAGCTCCAGAAGTTAATTAGACTGTAACAAGAGCAGCTGCCAGTGTGTTACAGCACTGAGCAGGATGTGCTACTATAAAACACCAATTCTATTTTGCAGTTCACACACTGATCTGTGTTATCTTTTCTATTTACTTTAAAGTGAACCCACACTTTTTTGTCTCTTTCTTGGTGGCACTTCTTTCTATTAGCAATCTCCCTCCATAGCTGCTAATAGCACTTAGCATTAGTCAGCAGCTCATTGATGGAGGTAAGAATCATCCAACATTAACACAGCGTGCTAAATAATAAAACATAATTTAACAAAGTCTCAAGCCAGATAATTTTTTGAAGCAGTTCTACCTGTGATAAACTTTATGGCCACAACCCTCCACAGGGTCTGATTAGAGTTCTGACCACAACACTATGGAGCTAAATTAGTCTCAGAAAGATTTCTAATCTTGGTGAACAGGCACTGCTTACATGAACTGAATGATGAGTGACACTAACACACAGATGTATGAGCAGAACCAGAACCATGGGAGGAGGTGTGTGTCTGCTCTCACCCTGCCTCCTGAGCTCGTTCTTGACAGCCTCCACCCCCCCTTTCTTCTCGATGAAATCGTAGATGACCTTGGATGTCTCTCTGTCCTTCAACTGAGCCTCGGAGATCCCACACATGTCAAACAGGTTCTTCAGCTCTGGGTCCAGGTTGTTCAGCTGCTCAAACAACAAAATTTGTTCAACTCTGAACATTCAACGTAACTCAAATTATGATGACTGATAGAGATCCAAATCTTTCAGTGTCTAGTGGTCCTTTTCACTTGTATGTCAACCAGAGCTGTGCACATATAGCTGGTGGAATCCATGTCAACAGATAACTTTATCAACGCTTTTAGGAGATTTTTCACTCTCCGTGGTTTGGCCAAACTTCTCTGAACTGACAGGGGAACCAAGTTTGTGGGTAAATGCAGAGAACTGAACATCAACTCCAAAGATGCAGTGGTTGGATTCTATCTACAAAGCAAAAGATGCACATGGATTTTTAACCTGCCACATTCATCACACATGGGTGGTTCATGGGAAAGACTTATTGGTGTAGCCAGACGCATTCTAGATGCTATGTTACTCCAAACAGGACACACTCATCTTCTACACAAGGTTTTGAGCACTCTCATGGCGATTGTTTATGCCAGACCTCTGGTACCTGTGTCTAATGATCCTGAGATGCCAACCATCCTCACTCCAGCCATGCTGGTTACTCAAAGGACAAGCTCAGTCTCAGCTCCTTCTGCTGAATTCAAGATGGGTGTTCTCCAAGGTAAACAAAGGAAACATGTCCAGTGTCTTGCAGGCACATTTTGGAAGAGATGGAAACAAGAATATTTGTCCACTCTACAAATACGCAGGAAATAGACTTGGCAAGAAAAAAATATAAAGGTGGAGATGCTGTTTTGCTTAAAGACAGTCAAGCCCACAGGAACGACTGGCCCATTGGAATCACTGTGAAAACCTTACCAAGCAGTGACAAGATTGTACACAAGGTAGAAGTAAAGACAACAAAGGGAGACATGTCAAGATTTTCCTCAGACCTGTCTGAAATTATTGTCCTGCTTTCTGGAGGCATTTGAAGATGGACAGAAACAGTTTTCCGTAATTACAGTGACAAAATAATATTTTGACAAGCGAGGACTGTGCTTATTCCATCTATGTGTTTGGTTTAGTTTGCTTATGCTAAATTGTAAGTGGACTACAGAGCCTTACTGACACCTAGTGGGCATTGTTCACATATTTAATTTGGTCAGTCAAGCAGAACCGGTCTGGCTGTACACTTGGTGTCATTGGCTGTCCTTCAGACACGTTTGCCCCTTGGACACTCTGTGTTTTTACAAAACAAACAAGAAAAGATAATGTAATGGGAAGAGTTGCAAAATAAAACAAGAAAAACTATCAAGGACTAGATTATCTTCAACTCAGGTGTTAGTTAGCTGTCTAGCTTTATAACGGCAACACTTCGTGAGGGCAGCATAGCTGCAGTATGCCACAGCAATGGGAAAATAAACTGATACACTGGTGTAAAATAACTTTAAACAATTTGGAGCTGCTTTTTCTCGCTCTATGTGTCGACTTTACTCTACACCGAGACCCGTTACCATCACAACCGACACAACACTTCCGCTAACCCACAGAGCAGAGAGTAATACATTGACCAGAATGCCTGCACTGTAGTTAGCTTCCTGCTTTTGGAGAGGTCTCCGATCCACTTGCAGTCACACTGCATTCAAACCATGTCACAGTTCACTTCAACTGAACTCTGAAGTGAACTCTGTGAACCTAGTGACCTAGGTTTTTAGGAGGATCAAGGTTGGCTTTTTTAGTACGCATTAGAGTTCGATTATGCATTCACACCTCCCCAAGCAAACCGAACTTCCTAGACAAACAAACTAGAGTTTGATTAAAGTAGACTAACAGGGCTGGTGTGGATGCACCCTAAAGATCACCTATCTTCAAAAAGTCTGACCTGCCAATTCCAATTTTGGCTGATACATATTTTTTTTTTTGTGCGAAAAGTCGCAACGATGACTGTAGTTGACCGCAGACAGGCAGACGTGACCTGGTGGGTGAGTCTGTCAGTCAGCCCTCATGGCAGAGCTAAAGGTAACAAAAGCTGATTTTCAGACCTTTGCAAAAGATAAGATCAATGGATAGATCAGCTTCATGTATAAGTGTCAGCTGATCACCGATCTCAAATTTATGCTGCACTCCTAGTTTATTATGACTGGCGCTGGTGGCATTCTGATCAGCCCTTTTAGAGGAACAAGCATGCTGTTGGGTCTGAACCTTTAGCATGGGAAGCAAAGCTAAGACCCACCTGCTGCTGAGACAACAGCTGCCAGGATACCGGGGACTGCAGTCCACCTCCTTGAACCTCGATGGTGGAGGAGCTGCTACCCCATGTTGGTCAGACGGCAGGCTGAGACTCTGAGTCCCATCCGTCTCACATGAACCCATGATGGGCAGAGTGGACAAAAACAAGTCCATCTGGGTGTTTTTAATAATTTGTCAAGTTCCAGAAAAACCTTCAGCTTAGTCTACTTTACTGGAGTCACACTCCCCTGATGACATCACTACAGCTCATAATGGATGCCAGCTCCAGGCTTTTCAATATAAATCTGGCTGGATCTGGACTCATTTCATATAAAACACCCCAAGAAGATATTGATGATAGATTATGATTATTTTCTTCCCTCCTCTATTTTTTTTCCAGGATCATGACCTCCAGCTGAGAATTTGCATTTCCACCACTTACATCTATATCAGGTGTGATTATTAAAGGCAGGCAGAGTTCATCCGACATGTTTGGCTGAATCCAGGATTTTATGATCAAATGTTGCATCCAGGCAGACCTTTGTAACTGTTGGCAGCAGCAGCAGGTGATCAGTGAGTTCAATCCCAGCTTCTGAACACAGAGCTGCGCTCTCTACTCTGGAGAAACAGACTCAATCATATTTGGCTTCTTTCTGTCAGAGCGGACAGAGGACTAGCTGAAGGCCAGGAGCGATGAGGTCAGCAGGCCTGCTGCTGCTGTCTGGAACATCCACAGAGTGCAGAAGAAGACGCTTGAGACAATGACGTGTCATTGTGTGATGACATCATGCTGTCAGACAGGTCACTATGGTACTGTTGTGGGAAGTGTGGTACTCACATCAAAGCCTGTATTTGGATCCCAGCCCACATGGCCGATGTGCCTGAGGAAGATGGAAGAGATGTGTGGTGAGATCGCAGATGTGTTCACATGCAAATTCACATCAGCTGCTTAGCATACACAACAAAGAGATCACAATCTAACAGCTGGCAGACTGGGCGTCTGAAGGCTGCTCTGTGGAGACGGACACAACAGGACCCAGAGCTTGTTCTCCCCCATCAGCACCATGACTGCACTGGAGAAATCACACAACAGATCATTTATCTGGCATAAGAGCAATAAGTCACTCAACAACATCCAGAAGATGTTTGGTGTGCTTCTGGGACCTCAGCAAAACAATCACTTTTCTATTTTCTGTTGGCTGAACTTTGTGACCTCCTGACCCTCATATGGAGTGTCTACATGAAGCTTTAACTACAGATGGAGTTATTGTGACCCACCTTGCCATGTTCAAATCAGATCAGTTTACCAACCCCCTCCCAGCTTTCCTCCCTCCCTCTCAACAGGTTCATGCTCCTGCTGCCCTAATGTCTTCAAAGAACAAACAGGTGGTCTACAAGGCGCTTGAGAGTCACTCGGTCATTGGACTCTTCAGGCGTTTTTCCAGCAGCAGGTCTGCTGAGAGCGGACAGCAAAAATAATCACTATGAATAGTTCATAATGTAGGGTGTATTTATTCTGTACAACTAATTTAAATTCTTGTGTTAATGTCAGGATATTTTACTGGACATTGTCCAACCATTAGATCCTCACGTGAGGATGAACACACAAGGTTGGTTATAAAGCAGTCTCAGCTGTGCTACTGAAAATGTGCAGGGTGCCACAGAGCTGAACTCACTGGAAGTTGCTGGGCGTGCCGATGTCCGCCTTTGTCAGCTTCTTCTTCTTGCTCTTCTTGTCCCTGCGGACCAGGCCACTGTGGCTCAGCATGTTGTTGAGGTGGTAAGGCTGATGGTGGCTGTGGGAGTTCTGGACTCTGATGTTGCTGATCTCTGGATTCTTGATGTCCACCGTGGCCATGGGCAGAGCTGGACCTAACATGGTTAAAGAGATATTAATAAGTGGCATGGCATTTTTTGCAAAATTTGAACTGAGTGATGCTAAAGCTATGACACTTGAGGAGTTCTGGGAGAGCATATTTACAGACAAAGATTGCATATAATTTTGCACAGTTTTGGCTCAATAACCGCTCAGCATGTCTTTCTTTCAATAGAAGGCCTTTTCTGAGTGTATTCTCCAGTTAGCAATAAATCAAACACTAAATTTGTTGACAATTCTTTCTACAATCGATTCATTATGATCAATCTGTTGATTGTGTCAGTCCTATTTTACAGCTGTGGATAAAAGAGTGCTATGGCAAGTTGATCAATTAATACATAGGAACACATTTCTGTTCAGTATTTTCAGAAAAGCAATACACCATAAAATGTGTATTGTGAAATGTTAGTATTTTTATGACCATTTGTCTTCATAGTTCATGACAGAGTTTAACTAAAGTGATCTAAAATGTCTGAGGGCTGTTTGGGTTGTAGACAGGTAAAAGCTGATGCCTCCATGCTCTGTTGGGTTTCTTTGAATAATGAACTTAACTTAATACACTGATGGGTAACTAGGGTAACAACTGGAATTTATGAGTGATTGGTGAAGTATCTTGAGGTGACATTTGCTGTGATTTGGTGCTACAGAAATATAATGAATTGAACAGAAATTTTTAAGAAAAAAGGAACTAGAGAGCAAGGCATTCAGGAGAAAACTGGGGTAGGAGGAGCACATTAAGTTCAGGGTTTCCGCCAGTGTATTATAAGCCTGTTGGGCTGACATGCTTTACGTGCTCCATGTGAGGCTAAGCCTCACATGGCGCACGTTATAAGGGTTTACAATTTTTGTAGCTGATGCATTGAACAGGGAGCGTGCACCAATCAGACCGCTGGCGTCACTGCGCGCTGGCGTGGTTCAGCCCATGGAGGAGCTCTCGCCTCGTGACTAGCGCAGCACACTGGTGTTTTAATTTAATTTTATTTTTTTGCGGTGACTCAATGCATATCAAATGTTTTGTCTACCTAACGTCAGGTAAAGTTGCTGTGTGGCCATGTGTATATCAGTATAACTCGTCCCATGAAGACTGGACAACCAAAACAGTTTCTGTGGCGCTTATTAAAAACACAAAATGGAAGCGCTCCTAAAACCACATAAATTAAATCTCCCATTTGTCCCTCCACATCTAGCAGCAGAAATGTGCTGTGCTGCAGGTCTGGCTCATCATGCAGGCCCGGTCCAAGGTTGTATGAGTCCTTGAGCAGAATTTGATTTAGGGGCCCCTCTTGCTGCAAAGAACATCAGCACCTCTAACAGCATTTCTCTGTGGATTTAGTTAAATCTGGGAGATGGGGCCTAGTTTAATTGACCAAGCAGTCAAATGGACTGCTTCTAAAGGTGATCAGCATTCCATTGTGTTTTTAGATTTACTAATTGATCACTTAATTTGGATTTAACAGAAGAGCAAAGAATTGATATTTATTTGATTGCATTTTTTTATTTGTTGTTTTTAAAGCAATAGTTGTGGGTATTGTCAGCAATGTCTTCCAGTAACATATAATTACCTAGTAATACGTTACGTTTCCTGTCAACTTAACATCTTTTAATACAAAACTCCAGTGGCCCACCAGGCTTAGCAAGTTTTCTGGTGGAAACCCTGCTGGGTTATTCAGTCAGTTGGAAGGCAGACTGGTATGACCCAGAGTATTACAGTCTGACTGACTGTCTCCGCCATGATCTGTTCACCGCTGGACCATTAACGACCCTCAGGACCAGTTTTGTCCTGCAGATTTGATCCATCCCTCCAGTTACTGGAAACCTGTTCACTCCTTCAATTCCTTATAATCTGAATAAACCACAGCAACATCTGACATAAACACTAATCCAGCACTAATCCCAGCCCAAACCCGCCTTACCTCCCCATTAATGCTGGGGTGCTGCTCCTAGACCGAGAGGCTTTCTGCCATCTGCCATCTCCTGAGGCTCTGACACGTCTACAGTCTGTCTACCCACTGACTCCAGGGTTCATGGCAAAATTTATAACAAACTTGCATCTTTTACATTACTACAGGACTTAATGTTTACCATGAACCAAGAGAATGGAGCATGTTCTGACCGCACCTACTGACTGGAAGGATCTCCATTCATGGTGGGTCTTTATTAGTTAAAATTGACTCGACATTAGATTAGCCCCAATTTATGACTGTGCTACAGATTAATTACCTCATGTAATCATAGACTCTTATAGTTTAGATATTTGTCCTTGGATAGAAGCCCTGTTTGTTTTGATTCTGGAAATCTATCACAGTATTGTAATCTAAATGTGGTAGACTGGACTTTAGTTTGCTTTAAATCTGAATCCGGCTGAACTTAGTTGGACAGACATGAAATGACTAGAAGAGAACTGAATGCTACAAACATGGATATAACTAAGGCTGCAGCCTGAAGTGACCCAATTCCGATTTTTTTGTCACATTTGATTTTTTTTGCTGTGGCCATTAACACTTCCAAATATGCGACCTGTGTGTGTGATCTCCAGTGCGAACTGCAAATTACCTGAAAGTGTCCCGCATGCACAGTAGAGGGCATAATATATTACATAGAGAGCATGCTCAGTGTTAGTGCTCTGTGTTCGTGGAAGTAAACATGGATGCTAACGGCGGAGCACAGTTTACGTTTTGAAATTGTTGTCCAACTAGAACCAGCATATTGCCAACTTAATCCTCATTATTGTCTGCCATGGTTGTTGCTTTTCTTCCTATCCGGATGCAGAATAATGATATTTGTCGAGTATCAATGACATTCCGGTCGGATGAATGCAACCTAGACATTAGGTCACATTTGAATCGGATATGTATTGGATATCCAATAGGCCTGGGTCACATTCAAAAAGAATCCGACCGGTGTTGTTCAGACTGTCATGAGAAGATCAGATGCAGGTCACATTATGGCAAAAACAAAAAATCTGAATTGGGTAATGTCAGACTGCGGTGTGAATGTAGCTTTAGACCTCTTGTCATTTTCTGTGCTTGGATTTGAGGCTTGCTGTGAGTTAGTGAAGGAAAAAAAAGATATATGCATACATTCACATGTCTCCAAAAGTACATTAAATTTTTTGCATGTATTGTTCGAAAAGAATGAGAGCAAGATCATGGAGGAAAGACGGTTCCCAAACACCTTTAAAGTGTCTCTGCCAACATGGAGCTGTTTGGTGAGTGTGTTGTGATACTCAGAAGAGCTCTTATTTTCTGTAGTTTTACTACCCCCTAGTGGCAGGATTTAAGCTAAGTTTTGTTTTTGTTAAAATCCAGTCGGTCCATCATTTTTGACCTGCAATGTGGCAGAAAGTCTTAGGGAGGCAGCGTCTTAGAGAACTAAGGGATATTTTAATGGAGGTTCAGTCAGCTAAGTCAGGTGGAAAATTACCAGGTTTTGCCTATCTGGACACAGCCAGGGGGGTTAACACAATGGTGGAAAAGCTTCCCTACGCCTTGCAAGAACGCTGGATAACACAGGGTTCTAAATACAAGGAAGAACATAATGTTCCCTTTCCACCCTTCTGCTACTTTGTAAGTTTCATATGTAGTCAAGCGAAAACCCGTAATGATCTGAGTTTTGTGTTTTCTACATGTAGTGCTATGACTCATGTAAAGTCAGAGAAACCGTCAAGACACAACACTTACAAAATAGTGTCAGTGAGAAAAACTGAAGTTGCACTTGCACCTGCAGTCATCAACAGTGTATCAGAAAATAAACTAGAGGAACCAGCTGAGAGGTGCCCGATACACAATGAGCCACAACCCTTAGCAAAGTGTCGTGGTTTTAGAATGAAGCACTTAGATAAGAGAAAAGCTTATCTAAAAGAAAACTCAATTTGTTTTTGTTGTTGTGCATCCACTAAGCACTTGGCCAAAGACTGTAAAGTTTCTGTGAAGTGTAAAGGGACAAGCACCTTACTGCTTTACATCCTGGTCCTGCTCCTTGAGTTACAGAAGTTGAAGCAACACAGCAAGAGCAAAGCGGGGAGCAAGAAAATAGTCCATCTTCGGAAGTCACTTCAAAAATGTACAGAGATCTGTGACACATCTCATGGACTCAGACCCTGTTCAAAAATCTCATTAGTGAACATGTATCCTATTAATCAACCAATTTAGCCCAAAAAATGTATGTAAAAAAATGTATGTGGTCTAAGCAACTGATTACTTGCTAAGTCAGCCTTCTTTGACATGTTTGGCATTGATGCAGTCTCCACCACTTATACACTGAGGATGTGTGGAGGAATATAAAGGAGGGATCAGGAAGGAAAGCTCACAATTTTGTTGTCATGTCTCTGGATGGAAAGGCTCGTATAGCTCTCCCACCTCTTTTAGAATGCAATACTATCCCAGATGATCGCTCAGAAATTCTGACATCTGACATTGTGCAACATTTCCCCCATCTAGCTTATTGCATGTGAAATACCTACGATTGAGCCAGAAACAATCATCCCTTCTCTTATAGGGGAGAGATGTCCTGAGTGTCCACAAAGTACGTGAACAGTACAATGGTCCACACAAAACACCTTATGCCCGGTGGCTAGATTTGGGCTGGGTCATTGTAGGTGAGGTGTGCCTTGGAGGGGCACACAAACAAACAAAGGTAAATGTCTACAAAACAAATGTGCTAAACAATGGCCGCACTTCTTTTCTTGAACCTTGTCCTGGTGCAATACACATAAAAGAGAAGTTCAGTGATCCCATTCAGCAAACTATAGACCACTCATTGGACATCACACAAACAGCTGCAGTCAAACTAAATGACAATTTGGGGCTTAATGTGTTCCAAAGAACCCTGATGACAAAACAGCCTTGTCTATTGAAGACAAGATCTTTCTTGAAATCATGGACAGAGAGGTTTTTCAATTATGAATTTCAATATATGAATATTGAAAATCATTGGGTGGCACCACTACCATTTCATACACCACGTCCTCTACTTCCCAACAACAGAGAACAGGCTT